TTACAAGAGCGCTCCTCGTACTCTGATAAGGCCATAGCCCACTAGCCACTAGGAAAAATCGGCTCAGCTTGAAGTAACGCTCCTTGGGATGTTCCATTTACTTCGAAGTACGCAGACAAATTGAGCGCGGTCTGACACGTCGCAATCGTTCAAAGTTTCGCTTCGTTTATTCGACCGACCATTTGTTTAGGGTCCTCATAACTATTCATACCTGTCGTATTTTTTTCTTTCATCTTCGCGACATTACCAAGCGATATCATATCGATGAAAAACGATTACATTTAAAGGGAGAAGTGAGAAAATTGTAAAGTCGTCGAGGGGATCGATCGGCGGCGTGCGTGTACATATTGCGGATAATAACATGAGAAAGGAAACATCCGCGCTACGAGAGCGGCAATTACCTCCTTCGCCACCTCGATGAAACACTTGATGTTTGATATTTGTCATCCTACGAAGAGCGAGTAAAGAAAGAAATTCAGCAATTGCAAAAATACTTAGGTTTTTTACTTTGTTCAGTAAAATAGCATAATAGGAGAAAAACAGCAATCGAAAAAATTATGAGACTTTTTATTTTACAAGATAAAATCGTAAAGTGATAGAACGATAGTCGACCGGACTAACGTCACGAATGATGTAAGCGCTTAATCCGGGAATGGTCACTTTATTTTTTTTTTATGTAAACGATCCCGAACACTTGAGGTGCTTATTTCGTTTTTTAAATATTTTTTTGTTTTCTGCCCATTTTTTAACGGCACGACTTCTATCTTGTCTACCGTTCAACTGGGCTCGTAGTGCAGGCCTAACTTCGTTACATTACAAACTACGTAATTAGAATAAGATAAAAAAACAAATTTTTTTTTATATAATTTAAATCTAATTGAATGTGCTTTTTAACGATATGCCGTTTTTTAACTATATCATAATTTCTATGCATAAAAAGATTACTAAAAATACGCCTGAATCTGTTTCCCAAAACCAGGAAATCTACTTAACAACACTCTAGAAATGTACGAAACATAACGTAAGATTTGTTGTATCCGCAGGCTCAGTGTAATTCGGTTTTTCGATATCAGCAATGGTATCGTGAAACATAGTGCAAGTTACGTCATTTATGATGACAAATTACGAATCAATTCTAGAAATATAACAGTGAACAAATAACACTGAATCGAGCGAATTATTATATTTAAAATAATCGTCGCACAGGTCTTTGAGTGATTATGGCCGAAAAAAATTATGCTCGTGGGTTTACTAGAACTTTTGTATATGTTTATGAACTAATTTATTATATCAACTATAATTGCATTGTATTTGAGTGGGATGGACCACTTTTGCATCGCTTCGCTTCTGGTCCACACCATCTCGTTAAACATTGTGCTATACATTATCACGTTCTAGAATAGATCTGTTTACGTCGCGTAAAAATTGAAATTCATCTAATTCGTTATATCTCACATTGACACCGTGTACATTTACTTGCCTACAAAACGTGTCGATAACTCTTCTCTCTCTCTATCGTTGTGCAAATGAGGTCATTCAACGAATCGAAAATGATTGAAACATAATAACGTTTCCTCGCATTTTCAGCGTCGCTTTTACGCGCAACAAGATTCCTTAGTATTGTCTGATGAACATGCAATAGCTGACCGTCGCCTGAAGTATCTTAAGAAGACGGGACGACTTTTACTGCCCACTCATCATGATAATGACACATATCATATGTCGGATGTTATTCACGTACCTTTCCTAAATTTGGTAACGACATCACATAAAACTTGCAGGCAGTCAAGACGTGCGGTTGAAAGCATCGCTTCATTATTAATAGGAGTGGCTTTTGTTGCGCGACTGTCATATCGTACCATTCATTATTGTACCTGTGCAATGTAATTGTAATTTCACGAGCGATCGGGTCGAACAATATAAATAAATCAAAGGAAAAATATATAATTCGACCAAGAACAGAGAGAGAGAGAGAGAGAAAGAGAGAGAGGGAAGGAGGAAGGGAGGCAGGGAGAGAGAGAGAGAGAGAAAGAGAGGGAGACTGAATATTATCTATAAAGATATAATTATTATTTAAAGATATACCGTCATATCTTTACATTAAAAAATTTTACGTAGAAGAGAAGACGATATTATGACTTCAATTTATATTTTGTACAATAGCATCGTTAACATTCAACATTTTTAATTGAAAACTTAATGATTACATTCGTCAAAATATTATTTAATCAAACCTAGATCCAAAATTATCAAATATTTATTATTTACGATGTTATAAAAATGTGACGACATTGTATAATACTCACATTTTGTGGCATAAATTTGTGCTTTTGTCCATGATTTGTTGACCCAAATAATTACATAAGGAGAGATACAATAATGGTGGGATAGCGTAAAAGATGGATAAACTTGCTCGCTCCATGTCAATGGAAACGGAAGCTATCTGAAAGAAATTGTTTTGACATATTGATTACGTTTTATTGACATAATTCCGCCATCAACATACCTGCGTTAATGTAAGTGTCAGCATCAGCACCATTCCCATTAAGTCCAATAGAAGCAATAGAGTATGAACGTGTTTGACTACATCAATGAATCTTGCAACGTGGAAAAAGGTCGTGTAAGTTAATTTTCTTGGCATGATTTAAATATGATTTATTTCCGATCATGCAATTAGAGTATCTAATGGAATACGCGGTACTCCACATATATGGTCATGTTTTCCTCAATTATTAAACGTAAGTGGATGTGTGAGGGTCGAACTGACCCAGACATATGAACAAATGAATGTTTATTGTTTCTTTTTCTGCGATACTAGCACTTCCAGTACTTTCCTACATCGCTTATTTTTGGTGAAATAGCAGCAATACAGTCAAAAATCTGAGCTACAAACAGCAGTTGATTTACTTTTTAGATTACTTTGATTTCCACGTTAGCACGTATATAACTTTTGCTGTTTATTTCGGCATATTGTTAACACATTTTATTTTGTCTTATGTAAGTTACTTTTATCAAATAATTATTAATAATAATTAATTAACAATTTATTAATAACAATAAATCAAGGCTATAGCTAATATAAATAATAAATATTACAATATTAAGTTTAAAGTTTGAAGATATAATTTCTTCGGCATTTAAAAAAATTTTATTCACAGATATATGAAAATGCAATAGTGGATGCATATAAATTAAAATGTATATCAAATTGACCCCGTGTCTATTTACGCCGAAAAAATTACGCGCCTATTTAAGGCTTAAGAATGGAATAAGAGCAAAATGTACCAAGAGGTTATCGTTATCGTCAATTTTTCAATTCCTTTACTTCCGATCATATTTCGTTGCATCTATTGCTCATTAAAGGAAAAGAAAGAAAATGGCAATGACATATTAATCTAAGGTAATATATTTGTGTCGGATAAAAATACGAACTGTATAACGTTGTGATGTAGTCGTATGAAAATGGCCGTTTTCGAATAAATTAATTTTTTATTACTATTTAAATCGCATTCCTTCATATTCCCATCGACGTAAAATAGATGTTCTGCACGATACCTGCCGAAATTCATCAGCATTATTCTCATCATATTGGTCGAACCTACTCGAACGATATTCTTCTCGAGGTAAACGCAAGGTTCAATCGATTATTATCCGCGGAAAACCAGACGAAGAGGCAAAATATTGTGAAATACTAATATAGGAACGGAACCTGGAGCATAGCAGGATCACGGAGCATAATGGCATAATAGTATAACTTTTTTCAGAGATATATAGCTGTGTAATTAAATGTTTTGCAATAATTACTGTTAGATTATGTCAGTTATTGCGTGCTGTTATCAGTTATCATGTTATTTTTAGATGAAAGATGATGCAAATTATTTAATGCGTCCGCTGTGATATGAAAGAAACTGAATTGCAGGTTTTTTATATATTTGCATAAGTTAAGCGATTATAAAATTCTGTTCTTTATTGTAAATATATTTATGTTACTAAAGTTTTTCTTATCACATTAATAAGGAATATGTGCAAATATCTGTGTAATGTTTTATATTATTTAATATGAACTTATACATTTCGGGACATAACGCAAAAAATGGTTTATCGCAAAGTTTTTGTTATAAAGTTTCTATATTTGTAGTCACTAAAACGAGTTTAGAACGATATATATGTCAACAAAATGAAAAGCAAAGTGACAAAGTAGTCGAAATTTCAAATATAAGTGCTTTTAAAACAATATTTAGGGAAGAAGAACAAGAAAAGAAGCTTTTGTGATTATGTAGTTAATACGGAACAAAGAATTTTTGGCCTAACTTCTGCAGAAATGCAGTTACTTCATACATATATTACATGTTCTAAATCACTTTTAAGAAGCTTTGAATGTTAATGTTAGGAAAATAAACAAATTTTATGAAACGTTCTATAAAGAAGTATAATGAGGTTAATGCTGCTAGGAAATAATGATTTAGTCCTCTTAAATTAATCTTTCACTATAAAACTTGTGTTTCTCTTACACTGTATAGTCCAAAGAATAGTTTAGTTTAAAACCAAGTTGATTAATTTATTTTTAATATGTTTAAAACTTGTTTAAAACCTTAGAGTTCGCTTTATGCCCCGAGCCCTTCTTTCTTTATTCATTGAGATACAGCGTACACGTATTTCAGAAAATAATTATTGGATAAGTTGTGGAGTTTTCTATTTATTGGTCAATCACAATTCGTCTGCTTCTTCGCAAACAGCAATCAAGCGCAAGTAGGCATCTTACCCGAGCAATTCGAACATCCCACATATGTGTTGCGCAGCAACTACAATCAGTGTGAGACTGGAAATGAGGACTATCATGCAGAAAAACATCGCGGAGATTATGTGTAACCGAATGAGGTTAATGTTTTGCTCCGGTGGGATTAAGTAATTGACTTTAAAGTAAAGCGTTCGGGGGCGGGACTCGTTCATAGGCGAAATAATATCAAGAATGTCCGGTACATATAAATGTACTACGTTTATCAAGAAACTTCCAGATAACTGAACTGAAAAATCCATGAGAAACTTAAATTTCGTAACAAAATATACATACATTATTTAACGAAATATGTAACAATTTAACATATTTTTAAATCTATATATATAATTTTCTTTCTTTCTAAGTCCTGTGCCTCTTTTCAGAAGTGTGGTGACCTCTCTCATATGCCTGTGGTGCGTACACTGATTATACACAGGCATATGGGCCCTACCAGTTTAACGACGGTTCCAAACAGCAAATTTTTAGAGAGGCGTTCATGGCAAAGATACTCTTGACAGGTTGCCACTTCTTTTCAAGAAGAGACACAGGCACAATATTTTTGGTTTTTGCAGGGATCGAACCCGTGACCGCTTGCATAGTAGACCAGTGCGCTGTCTGCTGCGCCACGCTCGTGCTCATATATATAATACGTGAGCCTTTTTTTTTTTTAACAGGGAGTATGTATAATTGTCAACTTCGGAAATTCGGCTTGACACAATAATATTATCGTGCGCAATGTAAAAGCTTGCTGATAATCTTTAATTAAAATATTAAAGAAAGAACATCGAAAAGTTTGCATTGACTATGAAAAATATGAGGAAGAATTTAAGAATAGTATTGAAAGAAAATTAATTCATTACAGTGAAACAATAGTCATCCTTAGGAAATATTAAACCAACTTAATTTATATGATACCGATTTTTTGAAGGCGTTTTAAAATTTGGATCATGAGAGTGAAATATTACTTATTGTTCATTGAAAGCGATATATTCGAAGGTTAATTATAAAGAAGGCGTCACTGGTTTTTATACACGGCACTGCAATCTCAATTTTATGAACAGAGGAGAAGATATAAAAGAAGCGCGCCTTTTTCTGTTGTAAGTAAGTCGAAATCTAGTTTTTCTCTTACGCATGAAATAAAACGATGTTACTCTCGAAATCTCTGCATATTTGTGCATGATTTTCACCTCATCGTTTGTCATTTGTAACTTCCAGTCTTCCCACATATGGTTGAACATTTCTTTAAGCTAAACGAAAGCGAAAGAATTTGTGAATGTGCGCGCGATAAATGTATTAAAAAATAGATTCGAAAGAAAACAGAAGTTATATAGATTACTCATAAAATAACTAATAATCGTCATTGACCATCATACTTTACCAATGTTCACCAATAACGCTGATAATATCTCTGTGTTGGAAAAAAACCGGTTTTTTGTCGAACGTGAAATAAATTCGATCCCAATAATTTGACTCAACGAACGTTTAGGTAAGTATATATATGTGGACTGAACTTACTTTGTCCATTTGTATAATATGAGTGTGTAAATGAATTAATGAACCCAGTACAGGTATGAGTATTGGTAACAAATCAACCAAGTAATCTATTGTAATCTCTGATGTAAGAATACTAGTCACCTGAAAAGAAAACGAAACACATTTTTTTTTAGGTTTTAATTAATTGGGAAAAGATACAGGAAATGGAAATTTTAGCAGATATAAATGTGCATAATTACGAAAACATTTAATTTTGATTACCTTATAACGTTGTCTTACAAATTCTGTATTACTGTATTCGTGAAAATAAATTTCATTGATTTTATTGGTTAAATATGTGTAAGAAACACTTGATTAAAATTATACATATATACATACATACATACATATATATATATATATATATATATATAAAACAAATCAAACACACACTTCTAGAATAAAATTCCACGAGTACCTCAACTAACATCGTTGACAGTTCCACGACAGTGATTAGGACTCTCATCACAAGAGCGTCCCTCGCCTTTTGATAAGGCCATAGTCCGCTAGCCATCAGGAAGAATCGGTTGAGCTTATAGTAACGCTCCTCGGGGTGTTCCATTTACTTCGAAGTACGCAGACAGACTGAACGCGGTCTGACACGTCGCAATCGTTCAAAGTTTCGTCTCGTTTATTCGACCGACCATTTGGTCAAGGTCCTCATAACTATTCATACCTGTCGTATTTTTTAGGTGCACCTTCGCGACATTACCGAGCGATATCATATCGAGGAAAAACGATTACATTTAAAGGGGGAAGTGAGAAAATTGTAAAGGCGTCGAGGGGATCGATCGGCATCGTACGTGTACATATTGCGAATAATAACATGAGAAAAGAAACATCCGCGGTGCGCAAACGGCAATTACTTACCTTCCGTTGCGCGATTACTTCACTGCTTCAACGAAACTGAGCAATTGGAGAAATACACACATTTGGGCCTTTTATTTCGTTCGATGGAATAGAATAATAGAAGAAAATCAGCATTTGAAAAAATACGGAGGCTTCTTAATTCACAGGATAAAATAGTAAATATGATGGTACAATAATCGACTAGATACATATCAGCAATGAGAGATGTGTATTCTACATCGCGTTTTTCGAATCAATGAACGGTTCCTCGATTCCTTTCCGAGCAGGCACGAGGTTCGTTTATGTTCTCTTGTGTCACGCTGTAATCTATCGCTGTGTACACTGAGAAGACTTAAAAATTTATATGTGAAATATCAGATCGATTTCACAGAAATTTCACAGGTAACATTTATTTAAATACTGCGGAATAAAGTTGTATTCCTAGCAATTAAACCAATTAATAAGAAAATTTAAGTACATTTCACAATACATTGTAAAATATGAATAAAATGTACATTCCGGCATCAAATTTATTTCTAAACAATAAATATAGCAGAAGATGTCACAAGAAACATTTATCTTGCAATATTTCAACGATTTTATAGAATTTCGATATTATTGGTTAGAAAAAATTTGAATGTGATGATGAAATATAAATTTTTGCGTTTTCTTATTAATTAGTTTATTTACTAGAAATAAAATTTTTTTTCGCAGTATTTGAATAAACATTTATTTCTGTGAAAGAAATCTTATATTTCACAAATAAATTTCAAATATTTCGCAAATAAATTGAAACATTTTTTTCCTCAATAAATTTTGATACACAATGCGAGTTGCAAAGTCATTTACGATGTCATTTGCTGGTCGATACTAAAACTATAATTGTGAACGGAATAGTACTAAATCGAGCGGACTACGGTATGCCGTTGCACGCGTTTCTGGGTGAATATCAACAAAGAAATTTATGTTCGAGTTTCTTAGCATTCGTGTATAATTTTACGAATTGTTTTATTGCTGGAACATTAATTGCATGAAACTTGAGCGATTTCGACCTCGCATTTGTGTGACATCTCTTTCACGTTTTTGCTAAATGTTCTACTACGTTATCACGTTCTAGAACGTATCAACGCACTGTGTTAATTTACAAAAATTGCGTGTTGAAAATCCGCGTTCGTTACATCTCGTATTCATATCATAGACATTTACTTGCCTGCGGAACGTGCCGTTGACTCTTCTCCCTCGTCGCGCAAAAAGGAGCATTCTACTTGTCGCTGAAACGTAAGAACATGTTCTCGCGTGTTCAGCACCGCTTTTACGCGCGACGGTTCTTATTTATAGATTTGTCTGATAAACATGCAATAGCTGACCGTTGTCTGAAGTATCTTTAGAAAACGGGGCATCCTTTACTGCTCAGTCGTCACGAACATTGCGCGTATCATGCGTCACGCGTTATTCACTTACCTTTCCTAAATTTGGGAAGGACATCACGTAAAACTTACAGGCTGTTAGGACGAGCGGCTGGAAGCATCGCCTCACTATTAATAGCATTGGCTTCTACTGTGCGAATGTTGCCTCGTACCACGCACTGTTGTATCTGTGCGTTGCGATTGTTATTTCGCGTGCGATCAAGACGAACGGTATAAACGATATAAATCATAGAAGAAATATCTAATTCGTCTGAGAAGAGAGTCGATTGAGTATCATTTATAAACATATAATTATTATGTCAAAAATATAATGTTATGTATCTTTATACAATAAATTTGACAAAATTTTACACAATACATTTCATAATTATGTCTAACTTAAAACTCTCGCATCGTGATTAGTAATTTCGATAATTGATATTTTCTGATAAAGAGCGTCGAATAATTATGTTTGTCAAGATATATTATACATACTTACACTTTGTCACATAAATTCGTGCTTTTGTCTATGATCTGTTGCCCCAAATAATTACATAGGGAGAGATACAACAATTGCACGGCAGCGAAACAGATGGATCTACTTGCTCGAGCTATGTCAGCGGAAATGGAAATTACCTGGAAGATCTCTTTTCGACATATCGGTTATGTTTCATCGGCACAATTCTGTTATCAACATACCTGCGTTAACGTTAAGCTAAGCACTATCACCATTCCAAGTAAGTCCAGTAGAAGCAGTAGAGTGTGAACGTGTTCGATTGTATCAACGAATCTTGCAATATGGAGAAGGTGATGTACATTAATAATCACGACATGATTTATAATTTACAGATATATAATTTACTCCCGGTTGTATAATTAAAATATCTAATGAGATGTGCGGCACTCCGCGTATATTTTCATTACTTGGACGTTGATGTAACGATAAAAAGAAACGCGCGTGTTAAATTTATTTAATAATAACGAGGCCTTCGTTGACTAAGAATGACCCGAGAGCGATCTGTATCGATCGGTTATTATTATGGATAATTTTTCTGCAATATTTCGCTGCATCACATAAATCACTCGTGAAAAAAAGAAAAGAAAAATAAACAGTGCTGCACTGATCTAACACGCGTGAGTCTGATAAAGTTACGAACTGTATGACGTTGCGATGCAGCCGTACGAAAACGACCGTGTTTATGTAAATTAATGTTTCCCTGTGGCTTAAATCGCATCCTGTCGTACTCTCATCGACGCAAAACAGGTGTTCTGCGCGATACCTGAAATTATCATCATCAGTTTTGCTCTTATTGTATCGGTCGGGCCCACTCGGACAATATTCCTCTCTCGATAAATCTAAGTAGAGTCAATCGATCAACATCTGCGAACTAGACGAAAAGTCAGAAAATTAATCATGCAAAAAATACTAATAGCTTTATTCGCCGAGTAAACGTATACGTATATTTGAGAGAATCATGGATGAGTTTTCTACTCATTGGTGGGCCATGATTCGCCTGTTTCTTCGCAAATAGTAATCAAGCGCAAAAAGCGCTACCTTACCCGAGCAATTCGCACATCCCGCAAACGTGTTGCGCGACAGCTATAAATTGGGTGAGACTGGCAATAACAACTATCGTGAAGAAAAATATTATAATGAATGAATGTATCCGAATCAAAGAAATGTATTGTTCCTCAGGGACAAAGTAATTTAATTTGAGGTAAAGCGTTCGCGGACGAGACTGGTTCATTGGCGATATAACGTCGAGAATTTCCGGCGCATATATGTATGCTACCAGGCCACATCCATACATATGAACTGAAAAATGCGTAAGAAACGTAAATTTCTTAACAAAAATATAAATATATTTTTAATTAAATAGATGTAAATTTAGCATATTTTTTTAAATTTAATATGTGTGTGTGTGCGCATGAGTGCATGTACGTAAGTTACAAGTATGTATTTTTGAAGATAAAATGAATAAGAAGAAGTACGCTTTTGACGGAATTTAGTATTCGATTTCCAAATTCGGGTATTGATATTAAAATTGTCACTATCTTCTTTTGCTTAGTCCTTCCCCTTTTTCGAATGTCTTATTGCAAAAATTAATAAATTTTGAAAATAAGCAGTAATAAAGACATATTTATGTAAAATTTAGCTAATTTTTTGTAATTACTTAAAATATATTTTTGAAAATATCGAAAACTTGACATTGACTGTGATAAAAAGCACGAGGAAGAATTGAAGAAGATCATTGGAAGTAAATTAATTTGGTACTGAATAAAAAATTGCCCTTAGATAATTTTACTCAAATTAAATTAAATGATACCGATTGTAATAAATGCGTTATAAAAATGAAATCGCGAAATTGTCAGCAAAAATATTGCATGTTGTTTATTGAGAGTGATATATGCATCGTTGAAAATGAAGAAGTAATTGTTTCTCAGACGCAGATATTCCAACTATAAGGATAGAGGAGAAAGAAAGCGCTTTATTTCTCTTGTAAAACGAAATTTATTATAATCTTACGTGCGAAATAAAACGTCATTGATCTCGAAGTTTCAGCATATTTATGCATGATTTTTATCTCATAGTCTGTCCTTTGTAACGTCCAGTCCTTCCATATACAGTCGAACATTTCTTTTATCTAAATGAAAATGAAACGTTATTTAAACGAGTGGATAAATACGTTATAAAATAATAAACCCAAAAAAATAACACGTTGACGACAAAGAATGGTTTAATTAAAACCGAAAAGGTCAATTTGACTTTTAAATAAAATTTGATTTTATTACATTTCGAACAATTCTTTAAGCTAAGCAAAAATGAAACGAAGTGTAAATGGGAATGCGATAAATAGATTATAAAATAATGGACATGAAAGGAAACATGTAGACAACGAATAATCTAATAGAAAAGTTTATTTAGATTTATAAATAAAATTTGATTTTATTACACACGAAAAACAGATTATTCGTGAACGAATTAATCATCGCTCAGTTGTTCATCATCCTTTACTAATGTTCGCCGATAATGTTGTCAATATATTTATCTTAGAAGCAAACTTCTTTCATTGCGAACAAGAAGAAAAATTGAGCCGAACTTTTTGACTAGATAAATATTTAGAAAAATATATAGATTGAACTTACTTTGTCCATGTGTATAACGCGTATGTATAAATGAATCAATGAACCCAGGATAGACATGAACACTGGTATTGTATCAATCAAGTAATCTATCGTAATTTCGGTTGTAAAAATGGTCACCAACTGAAAAAGGAACATACGAGATATTTTGTCGTTAGTTGAG